TCCCTTTAAGTCTCTATCACCTGTTTAACAAGTGTGCCCAAATCTACCTGCCTTAGTAACAACTTCTCTCTAGGTGGACATGGGTCACCTCTGGGAAGTTTTATTATCTGGACACCACCAGGCCAATAGAGTTGTTAAGAATGAGCTTTCTAGATGGAGCTGTCTAGATGGGCCTGAGGGGACCTTCCGATGGTCACACACTTGGACCAGCCTTCCACCTCAGTGCTCCTGGGCCCTGCTGCCTGGTCTCCCGGGCTTTGTTCCCTTGAGTTCTTCCTACCCCAAGTTTACTGCCAGCTTTCCACCTCAGGCACTGCAGCTCCTGAGAGAGGCTGGCTGAATTCATTAATGACCTGAAAGCCCAGCATGGAAACGCATACCACTGTTCTAAGAATCCAGAACATCGGTTTTCAATCCTGGCTGCATACTGGAATCTTGTGGAGCTTAAAAAAACCAACCAACCAACCCCCCCCACCCCCAAACCCAGTCCCTCCCTCCTACTCCCATCTGCCAGGCTCTGGAATTTTTTAAAGCTTCCCGCTGATTCTAATGTGCCGCCTACATGGAGAAGCACTAACAAGAAAATCAATTCCGGGCACCTTTGCACTCATTAAACATCTAAATTATAGAAAGGGGTAGGGGATGCAATTGCTTTCTTCAAAAGAAAATTCTAAAAAAATAATGCCTCCTCTGAAACTGAAAGAAAACCTCTTCAGACACTTTCTGCTGGAAGAAACATTTCACCAGTGACAAACACAATGGGAAAGTAGGACGAAGTGATAAAACAAAAGGATGCCTAGGTTTGAAACGGAAAAGGTAAAAGAAGTCTTATGAAGTTACTATATATTCAGCTGAATAATATCAGTGCCCACTGGCGAAAACGTAAGTCCGCCTTTCTGAGGGCAAACCAAATCAGATTTTTCCTCCAGCCAATTTTCCCCGTGGCAGAGAAGCCACTTAGGCTGGCAGGGGATCCGGCCTCGGTGGGCGCAGGCAGAGGCGTGAATGGCCCTGCACTGCTCTGGCCTCAGGTTCCTCCCGGCCTTTTCCTCCTCCCTGAGCCCGGGTTTCTTTGACAGCAAGCTCAAGAATGCAATGCCATCTAGGCAAAGGACCTAATCCCAGTGCAGCTTTTCAACAGAAGCATGACATCCAAGCACGAGGTTTACTCTGGAACTCGGATGACACCAGAAGGAAGATCCCCAGCCACGCCTGCGCGGCTCCCTACTCTGTCCCAGCCCTGGTGAATGATGGATGAGTGAATTTCCCCACAGGTGCTGTTTTTTTCAGTCCCTCTCTATTTTCTGGCAAACCCTTGAAAGTCTAAAGTAGCGATTGTGGGGCTTGTTTTTTTTTTATTTTTTGTCAGAGCTAGAACCAGTCAGAAGAACAACTGATGGAGGGAGACAGAAGTCCCTGACCTCCACTCCAAAAGGAGACTAATTAGGAACAAAGATCTAGCCCAGTGGGGATATTTGTCCCCACACTTCACACAAAAATCTTTGAGTTGCCTTTTTCCAATGAACTTGACCCCATAAGATATACACTAATTCTTCGTTTCTAAAAGGCCCATGCTGCTCTTTTGTTACATGCACAAGTCCTTGCTGAAACATGACAAATGTCCCACACCATGACAATCAAGCCATTATTGAGCTATGGATTGCAAAACCTAGGCTGGTTATGTTTTATTCAGATTTTTATTATTATTATTAAGAAATTACATCGTACTGAGGTGGAAGGAAATATATTGCCTAACATTTAAGGGTTCCAAGAAACTCAGTAATAATACCTGAATGGTTGGAGCTGAAAAAAGCAGCACATTATTTTAATAAACTGAGTTTCCTCATAGACATTAGGACTAAAATGATACCAACAATCAGTGGAAACTGGATTCCTACAGGTGGTGAATATGAAGCTATCTCACTGACAAGCTTTTAGACTTCCTGGGAGGGAAGGAAAACTGTCCGGGACATTTGCTGTCTCTGTTTTTAGGTCAAATTTGTCTTAATATTTGGGTAGCTGGAGTTCACGGATAAAAATATATTTCCCTCCTAAAGTCAGAGTTCAAGATTCCACAAGTAATTAATTCAGTAGTCTGGGTTTTTGTTTTGTTTTTGTTTTGTTTTGTTTTTGTTTTTAATCTTCACCCGAGGATATGCCTTTCATTGATTCTAGAGCAAGAGGGAGCGAGATGGGGAGAGAGACAAAAAAAACCCAACATTGATCGGCTGCCTTTCTCATGTGCCATGACCAGGGATGGAACCTGCGACCTGGGTATGTGCCCTGACTGGGAATCAAACCTCAGCCCTTCAGTGCAAGGAACAACACTCCAACCACTGAGCCACACCGGCCAGGGCAGTAGTCTGGGTTTTTTAAAATTTGGTCCAAATGCCTTAAAGTGATTTAATTATAATTTTGTGGATTTTGGTCATTGTGTAAAGTAATGATAGTGCTGAGATCATAACAGCAGGCACAGCCTAGTAAACAATAGAGAATTCTTTATTTATAAGGAGCTTCTATCTCAACTTCTTATGTCATTAGGAATGTATCCAGGGTGAAGGGCTAAATACCTTCCCAGGGCCTCCAGTATTAGAAATGTTTTCCATATGTTGAACCAAGAGCTGAAATTTGGCTTTTCTCAGGTGCCACCCAGTGGTTCCAGCCCAGCCTTGCATTGCAATACAAAAGATATATTCCCTCTTCTCAATGACCGTTATCTACGATGTTAGTTCAGCTCTCACGTCTCTCCTTGGCCATCTCTTTCCCAAGGTCCTTGACCATTCCCCGAATTACTAGAGTTCTCAACTCCTTTCCCACTTGATCCTGCTCTTCTGAATGTGCTCATTTGTCAGTAGCCCTTTTTTCATGTTTCTAACTTTTAAAAAAAGGTATTCACATAAATGGCTACAGCAATTAAGATTCTAAACCATCCGTTTGTTGTATAAGTTAACACAGTGTAATGGATAGACACATTAATTCTTACTACCTGATTTAGATGTTTAAATTTAGAATAAAAAGGCTTTTTCTCTCTCTGTTTGTCTCCAACCACTGCTGAAATCCAGCAGGCCTTGGGTGATGCTCCCTCTGATGGTGCCATCCTAAATTTCAGCCTGTGACCTCACTCCAGTGCCTGGGTCCTCCAGATCGCATCATCAGGACTCAGACAAGCTCATTGAGGAGACACTCAATCACAGGTAGAAAAGCAAGGCATGGACAGTGATCTTTACATGCTTCCTTAGTTTCATATATAGATATTCCCCCACTCCCTACAATTTGATAGGTCCATTATGTCCCAGAAGTAAATTAGAAAACAGAGAATCCTAAACTTCTTTGAAATGTCTTTTTAAAAAGTATCTCCTGATTTTGGTATCAATCATAAACGTTACAGATAATAACTGAATCAGAAGCCAACCAGTCTGAGGTTTGGGTCCCTGGTTCTCTAATATTAGAACAGAACGATACAGAGCACCACCCTGTGGTGAGGAGGGGGAAGTGCAGTGTTCCACAGCAAGGAGCCAGAGGCGGGACAGAACAGCCCTGCCCCAGGCTTCAAGGGTGTGAAAGTCAGGCACAGGAACGCTGTGCTCTGACAGCCATGGTTCCTCAGGATGCTAACTGTGACAACATGAGGCTCTTCCTTGGGAAACACGCTCCTGACGCGACCTAGTCCTGACATCTACCCATCACTGTTGCTGGCAGTGCTCCTGCACATGTGAGCAAAGAGACTGGGAAGGCACGGGCACGGATGCCTCGCCTGAACCTCGGCTGCCCTTTCTGCTGCTCCCGAGGCTGGCACAGGAGCCAATATAATCCTCATAGGCTTCAACACCATATGACTGGGTTCCTTGTTTGGGAAGCAGATTTTGTCTAACATACATGTTTATCCTACACATAAGAAAAAAAGGGTCCCTCCCCATCCTCACAATTCCCTGGCTTTAACCCCACTCCTCTGATATCTCCAACAGTTTATAGATTAATAGGAAATATAGTTTTAAACTTCTATTTGTGTCATGTGTATAAATTATTTATTGGAAGTAGAGATACTTTTAATTTTAGTAATGCATTAATAAAAGAGATAATTTCATCTAAGGAAAAAAATTTTTTTCAGCTTTTCCACTGCCAACCAAATGTTTAATTAAATTGAAACCTTTTCTTTTCTTTGCAAGTTAGAGAATTAAGCTCTAGGGAATTCTTATAACCCTGTCAGTACTAACTGTTCTTTTTGCTGTCTGATGTTTTAATTGAGCAAGAAAAATTACAATAATATGTTATTAGCTTTACCACAGCATAAACTTTCTTTTATTGAGCAATCCCCACAAGAAAGAGAGGTTAAAAGAATTGCTTTCCTCTTAGAGAAACAGAAATATTCAATTTACCAATTTTTTCACTTAGGAAATAGAATAATAAACTATGCCCAGCCTATAGTAAACCTATAGCATGGTTCACACTACGTAGACAGGTAAGGAGAGAGAGGGTGGTGGAAAAGCGAAAAGATGAAGGAGAAACAGGAGCAGGAGGAGAGAATGAGGGAAGAAGGCAGAAGAAAGAAAGGGGAGCACACAGGAAGAAAGAAGGAGAGAGACACACCCAGAAACGAAGAAAGGACCCCAGTGGTAGCCTGGGGAGGCAGGCGGGGGCAAGCGCCAAGGCCTGAGCCGAATCAAACTTTCCTTGTCAAACTTCCCCTTGGTCCCTGAGCTGCGGGAACCCAGGCAGGGTACAGGGTAGGTATCACTGTCCTCTGAGAGTGAGTGAGCTGTGCCCTGCACCATGCAGCTTATTAACTGTAACCCTTTGATCTGGAGAAGGCCCTCTTTTAGGGGGATAATCCCCACGGGGGACATAAGAGGAAATTCTCCTCTGAGCCAGGGTGGCGGTGATCTGAGCACGTCCACTGTGAGCCGCAGAAAACTGAGCTCAGAGTCAGATCTGGCGCTAGGGCTGCAATGTCCCCACCACAGGAAGCAATCCCGGGCCCACGGCCTCTGACGAGGGCTTACCTCCTCGACCATCTGCTTGACCTTCTTCTGCTGGCAGTGCACCATGTCATCCAGGTGTCGGATCCGCTCCCGGAGGCTGGCGGACGCCTCCTCCAGCTGCTGATACCTAACACAACGGGAGAGAGAGCGCTGAGTCCCACACCGAAGCAGTGGCACAGCACGGAAAGTCACCGCTGGGAAGGATGCTGCCAGGAACAGGACGGGGACTCCAGGGTGCACTCTAGCGTCGTGTGTACCCTGTGTGATCACCTACCAATCAACCGCCCTACCACAGAACAGAGGACTCTTTCCAGTTCCCACTTGTAGGTTTTACCCTGTGTGAGGACAGTTAGGACACTTTCCAGGCCCTGAGAATTTGTTAGTACCACTTACAGGTGTGAGAGGCTCTCTGTTCTGGAGTTAATACAATATTAGAACTTCCAATAAATTACCTTGATTAAGAGAACAGAGGAGAGGCATCCAGCAATACAACAAAACGTCCGAAATGAGGGCTCCCCACAGAGTCCTGGGAAGTCTGGAATTATCATGTTCTCTATATGATTACTTTGGGAAAGTGGGAAACATGTTGAAAGGCCTTCTCATCACCAAAACAGAGTGAACCACATCATAAAACATTTTACACTTTGGTTTTAAAACAGCAAAAATTATCCTCTGGCTTTGCTGGTTTCGAAGAAACCAAAGGATCCAGTAGATGGGTTCTTTAGTTCTCGGGGGCCCCTGGACCAGAGCACTCACTGATGGGGGGCCTGGCGGTGAGCTGACCACTTCCCACCTCTGCCAGGTCCCTCCTCAGCACTACATCAAAGACCAGGGAAGATTCCTATAACATTGCAAACTCTGGAATTGCATAAGAGGAAGGAAAACAGGTATTTTTCTAGCAAATGCCATGTGGCAGGCAGTACACCCAACAATTCCCTCATAATAATAACCCAAAGAGATGGGCGCTGTTATAATCATCATAACCCCCTCCTTTAAAAATGAATTCCCACTTTCCAGATGGGCAAAGATCTCAGAGAGGTTAAGTAACTTGCCCCAAATGCTTAAATCATCCCAACCTAGCTCTCCTTCACTAGGGAGCCATGCATAGTCTCTCGGCCTTTTGATTTCTAGAGGAGACCGTGTACTACTCCTACATTTTCCACATGGGGTTTTATACACTCAAAGACAGTGGACAAGGCAGGGTTTGATTGAGCAATGTTTGGAAACAAAGACATTTTAAAAAAATATGTTTTTATTGATTTCAGAGAGAAGAAAGGAGAGGGAGAGATGGAAACATCAATTATGAGTCATTGATTGGCTGCCTCCTGCACACCCCCCACTGGGGATCAAGTCCGCAACCCAGGCATGTACCCTGACTGGAAATCAAACCGAGACCTCCTGGTTCATAGGTCGACACTCAACCACTGAGCCATGTGGGCCAGGCCAAAGAAAGACATTTTAAAATTAGTTTCCATGGCAACAATATTAGTCATAGTTGATGTTTTCTCATCAACAAGCAAGGTGCATCCTGCGGAGTTCAAGGTTACGAAGAGCATTGGTAGACTGAACTTTTGCACTTGTGACAGGGCAAAATTAAAATGTGTTCCACTGCACTGACAACCAGCCACAGCTGTAGGATGTGGCTGTTAGGCTCCTAAAGAAACCAGCTCCACACTGAAAGCTCTCAAGCAATGTTTCTGCATGTGTTAAATCTGCAGGAAGAGATGACCAGGTGGGTGAAAAATGAAAGGACCGAGTGAGCCCACAAACACACAGCGTGTCCACCATCAAAATCCATTATAAGATAAAGGGCATCGCATCTTACCTTTCGTTGTCAGCATCAGTGATTTCCCCGGACATTTCTGTTTCGTGTTCTAGGAGTTGTAGCTGCAGTTGATGGCGTTCCTAAAGCAGACAGACACTGACATTTTCACCAATGGATTAAACCACATTGGACAGAGAACGTGTATTATCTCTGTCAACTCCAGCACTGATGAATTCAATTCTATATGAAACACCCTGTGGATTTTATACACCTACTCACCAGAGTCCAAACAAAGCTCAAAAATGCCAGATTTGTTGGTGTGTGTTTATAGGCATATTTATGAGTTAGAGACAAACATCTTGGATAAAGCCATTCAAAGTATTCCACCAGCCCAGGCTCAGATGCCTTGTGACGTTCATAGTTCTAAATAATAATCAATACTCTATATCAGTGCCGGTGATCCTGCAAAATTTTTGATTCTTTCCTGTATCATCAATGAAAGAGGCTCTGGAATTCAGGTAATAGCCTACACACTCACCTGGGGTGATGTTTACACAGGTATGTTCACTTGTAAAAATGTACTGTGGTAGTAAGAACAGTGGCTCCCAACAATGCCCACATCCTAACCCCTGAAACCTGCGAATGTATCAAGTTACATGGGGAAAAGAACTTTGCAGATGTGATTAAGTTAATGGAGAAATTACCCTGGATTATCCAGTTGGGCCCTTATTGGAAGGAGGGTTAGAGTCAGAGAGAAGCAGAGATTGGAAAATGCTGCCTGCTTTTCCAAAGCTGGGGGATGGGCCATGAGTCCAGGAATATGAGAGTCCCCAGGAGTTAGAAAAGGCTAGGAAACGATTCTCTAGAGTTCCCACAGGGAACCCAGCCCTGCCAACACACTGATGTTAGAACTTCTGACCTCCAGAATAGTAAGATAATAAATTCAAGTTGTTTTAAGTCACTAACTGTGGTAATTTGTTACAGCAGCAATGGGAAACTGATACATAACACAAGCTGTGCATTAAAATGTGTCAACTTTGCTGTTTCTACGTAAATTTAGAAGTTTACCCAATAAAGTAATATAGAATCTGGACAATTATTTCTTTGGAGAGAGTGGGAAAGTTAATAAAGCACAGTGCCCATCGTAACCAAAATCATACTAGAAATACATTAGCGATGTTGGTGTAATAAATTTCCTTAATGAAGTTTACCACATCGTGCTCCCTAATTGGGAGGAGATGGTTTTACTTTAGGCCCTCCTCTAAGTACTACTGTGCCTCATCTTTATTCTTAGAAATGCTCCCTAACAAACTCTTACTGGTTATATAGATTCCAAACCCCTTTCCTGTCAAATTACTAAAAGCAAATCTTTGAAAACTTAAGTCCCACAACTTCTGAAGCTGTAAACCATGGTAGACCACGGAACAGACGCAAGTGGGGGCCAGCCACCCTGGCAGGAAGAGTCTGTCACCATCAATGTATTAAGTCATAAAAGAAAACCCACTTCGGGTGGGGTTGTTATTATTTCTCAATCTGTGCAGCGAATGCACGTTCTTGCTGCCCAGCTTAGGCAGGATGGCCCCCTGTCCCCATGTGGTAGGCCATGGGCTGGAAGTTTACATTAGCCCTGAAATACCAGTGAATTTTTCACAGGTGAGCCTCCCCTTCAATCCCCTCAAAAGCTGTCATAAAGTAGGGCAAGGCCTAATTTATAGCATACTTTAAAAAATGCAATATTGCTATTGAGGTAAAACAAATCTTAAGTGTACACTGCACAATCATTTCTTAGGTTTGCATATACCTGATTACCTGGTGAAACTACCACCCAGATCAAGGCACAGAACATTACCTGTTCTGCAGAAGGGTCCCTAAAGGATTGTTACTGACCAAAGTGTTCCAAATACAATGCTCAAAAAGAGAAGACAGTAAACTGAGGTATATATAGTGGAGAAGCCATTCAAAAGCACACGGTCTGTCCTCGAGTGAAATCTAGAACTCAGTGCAAGCAGGACACAAACCTGCCACAGTTCATGCCTGTGGACACGCTGTTCACACAGTGTGTGACACAGATTTGGCACAATTCCTGCTCTCAAAGATTTATCCCTGAAGGGGAAAGAGCAGTTGATCAGTTTACCTAACCTTAGTTAAATAAAGCAAACATCTCTCTAGCCTAAATGGAAAAGAAGATTTAGGGCAAGGGCAATAAATTTTCAATTACTAAAGAAAAAGTCATCAGGACACAGGGACCATTTTGAGTTACACAAATTCTGGCAGGACCACCTCCCTGTCCTCCACCCATATACCCTGCTACTGGCTCCACATGGAAATCAGGGTTTGGAAAAGCCATTTTCCAGAAATCAGACCCAGCCTTGGCCCTCAGCTACCACCCCTCCCCCACAAGTCAGCTGTCACCTGCTAAAGGTCACCCTCCGCTCTTTTTTCCCTCCCTTCCTTCCTTTTCTCTTTCCTCTCTCCACCCCCTCTCCCCTTTTCTCCAATTTGCACTACTCTCTGGTTCCTCCCTTTCCCTAGGCTAGGTTCATTATCTCCCCTGAGCTCCTGTCTTCCTGCACAACCCGGTCCCCACCCACAGAGAATCATGGTGTCCCCCTCTGAAATGTGGCCTGTCACAGAAAAGTCAACCCTTCAGAAGCATGGCCCAGAAGCAGCAGGCTTGGGGTGCAGAGGTAATGTCTAAATAGGGCTTGACCACCGAACAAGAAAACTAAGTTCATGCTTGAAACCCCAGCAAAGCAGGGCCACTGAAATATTGACTTTTTAGGTCACTTTACATGTAATGTTTTTTAAAGCATCAAAATAGTCATCATGGAAAAATCAGAACTTTCTTCGACTTCCTCATACTTCGATAGTTTTGTCTTTTTTTTCTTTTGAACTCACACATTGCAGGGCTGAAAGGTATCAGTGTTGAGGGCGTCTCAGGCCCTCAGACAGGCCTACAGAGGGCTGAGGAAATGCAGGGGCATCTGGGTAAGTGGCAATAGACAGGGGCAGTGTCCGTTACCTTTTCCATGCGTTCGATAAACCTGTCCAGCTCCCCAATCCTCTGGTCTTTCTCTTCTAGGCTGATCTCTGCCGCCTGCATCTTTTTATTGGCTTCTTCAATCGTTTTCAGGAAACTATTGGTTTCTTCCTGCAAAAGCAACAAACTGTCCTCAGCAGAGCCGCGGAGTCCCTAGGCTACCAACCAGGGTCTTGCTGAATCACAAGGCCTCTTTAAACGCATGACCTTGGGGCCTAGATGTCTCTCACAAATCATGAAATCAACTTCCACGATTCTGGTTCTTATCTGGAAATTAAGACGCATAACATGGCTCTCTAATAAGCCTAGTTATTTTTCTCGCCTTTTTTGCTTTGAGTCCTCATGTCTAAAATGAGCCTGTGAATGTTATTTACCCCTTCACTAGATGCTCAGAATGTCAATGTGCCAACAATGCAAAGGGATTAAGGCCAGATCTGGAGTTGAGTGCAGAATGCCCACTTCTCTCTCCTTTATTGCAAAGCACCAGCTCAGCCAATCATTAGGCACATTTACTACGCCTGTAAGGACACAGGTTAAGGTAAACATGGAGTCCCTACCTTCAAGGAACTCATGCTGTCCTAGGGAAGCCAAGATGTGAAACATACAGCCCCACTCTGATAACAGGGACGAGAGAAGGCCACAGCAAAGAGTGGGAGAGCGTGTGGGCTTCCCAGGGACAGGGATACTGCCAGCTGTGGGAACGGGACAGACTTCACTCATGCAGAGGGTGGCATTTTCAAGGCTCCTAGGGAGCTTAGGCAGGATCAAGGACAGGGAAGGAGGAAAGTTCGGATCAAGAGGAGCAGTGGCGGAAGGACACAGTTGCAGGTAAGCCCAGGACCTGGTTGGATGCTGGCAAATGGTCAGATTAGCTAGAGAAAGGGGTGTATTTAGAGCTAGAGATTGGGGGCTATCCCGAGAAGGGAGGGGAATGCAGAGAGGAAGGAAGGGAGAAGGGAAGGGAGTGAGAAAACAATAAATTCCTTGACCCCTCACCCCGCAGTCAGTCCACTAACTCACCTCCACCCAAAAAGCCTACCACCGGGTGGGGCAAAAGTAGGTTTATTGTTGTGAGTACGCCAAGCACAGAGTTTATCCTTGCATTATTATTTATGAATTATTGTATTATTTTCCATACGAGCAACTGTAAACCTACTTTTGCCGCCCCTGTACTTAACCCTCGCCGACAACACTGAACCAAAACCTCTGCTGTTTCCTGTGCGTCTGCGCCGTACCAGGAGCGCCGCCCGCTCGGCGCTGTGTCGCTGCTGCTCCTCGCGGAGCCTGTCCTCGTACTGGCTGTACAGCTTCTTGGTCATCTCCCTCATCACCTCGGCGTTGGCTGCGTGGGAGGACTCCACCTGCAGAGACACGCGTTTCAGGCGACAGCCCTTTCCACTCTGCATGTGTCACGCGTGGACACGCAGAGGAGGGACCCCACGGCCAGGGCTCGGCAGAAGACAGAGGCGGCAGGAAACAACGGGCAAAGGGAGGGAAGGCAGAGGAAAGGGGGCGAACAGGCGCACAGGACCTAAAAAGGTGCACTTTATACTAACTTACTCGATGTCGTCAGGAAGAGGTGGGAATGTAAAACGGCGCAGGCATATCTCTAGATTACCTTTCATATTGTTTTACTTTCCCCCCTATGTACATTTATTACTTTTAAAAAATTATGCCAGAAAAGCTGGGAGGCCTTTCAAGAGAAGTCATCCACATGGAGTTGAAGCTGTCCCACTGGTTGCACCACCCGATCAATTACCAGGAAAGACTTAATTAAGCTCCTGTGAGAAATGTGGACTCATCCTTTCCATACCTTTGTGCTTTCCCAAATGTTGCATTTGGAAACATTCCCACCTGGTAGGCAACACTAAGCTGGGGGCTTCTCATGGCTCAGGCAGACCTAGCTTAGGAGATGAGGAAAAGTCAGCAGAGTTGTGGGCGGGCAGGGCTTAGGGTGGAGGTGGCCCTGGCCTTGCCTGTGAACTTCATGCTATCAGTTTTATGCTGCTGTGGGTTTGTCTGTGTCCCATCCTTCCAGCTTACTGCCTGTTCCAGAATGCTGAGTAAGCTATACATGCAACCCTGGATAAGTGAGCTGGACTTCAACCTCAGCAGGCTACATGATGTTTACTTCAAAGATGCCCTCTAGTTCTCCCTTCTTGTCCCTAGGCACACTTTGGTACCCAGAAGCCACAAAATGGAAAATCCTGAACAGAGGTTATTGTCAGGTGAGAGAGACCTAATGCATCCTGCACCCCATTTCCACTGCAAACACAGACTTCCAAAAAGGGGTCTTCTCCAGAGCCCTGTTTCCTCTGCATCCAGGTCATGAAACACTCTGAGTCCTATAACTTTTTTATTTATTTTGGGGGTAAAGTAAAGCATTAGTCTCTCAAACAGGCAACTGTATACTGGATTTAGGGGCTTGGTCTCCTTGGAAGGAGCCAGACTGCCAAACTGCCTAATTATGTACCCAGATGCCTGATGCCAATCCTGGGACAAACAGGAATATCCAGGACAGGCACAGAGCAGACACTCCATACGGGGTACGGCAAAAGTGGGTTTCAAATTTGGGAGGGCATTAGGAGCCCAGCAGTGGAATAAGTGCAGCCTGGTGGGCAAGAGGGACATTGCCCAGAGTCCTTGATCAGCATCGATGTGCCTTCTGTGTCCTTCAGGTCTTTATTGTCAAACTGCACCGGAAGGCCTCGGGCCTCGGAGAAAATCCGAACAGTGAAGCTGCTGCAATCCCAGACCTAAGGGCACCCCAGTGCCACTCAGTAGTAACAGCAGCGCCAGGGTGGCTGTCTCAGCAGCCCTTGAGGCCACTGGGTCAAGGCAGGAGTGCCCAGTGGGGAGTTATGGGGCACCCCCAATCTGGACTGACAGTGTGAACACAGAAACCTCCTCAGTCCTTCAAGCCAAGCCCTGTGGGGTTGGCCACAGAGGGTGAGAAAATTCAAAGAGGAGAACAGAGAAAAGGAATTGGAGGAGTTGAAGATGGGAGGAGAGAGAGGAGAAGGAAAGAAGAGAAAGGTTAATAGGAAATCCACGACCCCCTCCCCATACTCTACCTTCATTTTCAGCAGCTGGTTTTCAACTTGTGCTGCCTCTAACTGCCTCTGCTTCTCCCGCAGCTTGTCCATGGACGCTTCATATGTCTGCTGCAAATTTCTGATCTGATCCTTAATGTTGCTGTTTTCCAGAGTAACATCCACAAGCGTTTTCTAATGGGGTGAGAATAATTAAAGAAAAACAATAATAATAAATAAAAACCACAGATCTCGTGGTGTGAGAAAACGTGACCAGAGTCATGCTTGCACTGGGACATCTTTGTCATCAACCACTGAGGTAGAGGTCAGGCCACAGGAGACGCAAACCTGAGAACCTGGTATTTGTGGGGCTGAGGTCCCCACAGCGGTCAGGAGCTCTGCTGCCTGTAGTTGGATGGGCCAAGAACCTCCCCCATAACAGCCCAAGGCTGCTGACAAGGCCACCTGCCACTGCTCAGGATGGACAGAAATGCATTAAGATGAAGGCTTTCCACGGAAAAGTGTTCATAATACATCATTTCACATAGGAAAAACTTGGGTTTGAAAATAGGAAGTATAGAACAATTGCATTTTGAAAAAGATGTATAAGCATTAGTTCGAATGTGTTTATACAGAGAAATTTTTAAAAGACTAGGAAGAAATTCACCCAAATCCAAATAATAGCTTTCCCTGTGAGATAGGATTATGGATGATGTTTATTTTCCTCTTTGTGATTTCTTTACTTTCCAAATTCCCACAATGAAATCAGAAAACAAAACATGTGTTTGGTAGGGTAGAGGTGTTTTCCTATTTTTTCGTACAGGAGCCCTCACTCTGTACCCCTAGACTGCTTGCCGGGACAGACAGTGGAGCATGGCTGAGGCTGCTGGAACGCCTGCATGGCTTCACCTTCCTCCCTTGGGCAGAGGAGGGTGGTGAAGGAGGGAACAGAGTTCAGTGACTCAGACAAGTGCCTGACAAGTGTCAAACGCCTGTTGATTATTGCTCCAGGCCACCCACTGGGGCAAGAATGTTTAAATGAATAGTGTTGCTACTTATAGAACCTAGAATTCCTACCACTGGACACTGGGTCTGGGCACCTTCCACCACCTCCCCCAGTCATCCACAATTGTAAATCAGGAAATTTGGAAACTCTGGTGTTGGACACACTTTCTCATGCCCATGTCTTCCATGTAGATGATCAGTCTCTGAAGCTCCCCCAAATCCTGAGCCTCCACTTTAAATAAAAAGCCTCATTCCTAAACATACTTGAACCAGGGCCTCCGTGATTCCATGCAGCCATGGGAAGCATGGAATCACAGAGGCTACAGAAACCACGTGGCCCAGCCACCCCTCTCCATGCCCCACGGGCTCTAGAGATACTACTCTGTGCTCAGGAACCTAACTCTGGACCAAGAGACCAGGGTTCTAGTCCTGGCTCTGCCACTAGCTAGACACCCTGATAAAGTCATTTCCCCTCTGTTGGCTTCAATCTGTTCATCCATAAAACAAGGGGGTTGGAGATCCTTTCAACTGTTCTTTCCAGCTCTGATGTTCTACAAAATCAAACCAAGGGTCTGGTCTCGCTGTACATAATAAAGAAAGTAGGGCAGAACGGACAGTGGAGGTCGGGGCCGTGCAGAAACAAGCCAGCTGTCTTCAGGCTCAGCTGAGTTTCCTGGCTGTGAGATGGTCTTTCTTTATTGTCCTTTTTCCCTCCTTCTGTTCCTTCCTCTTCCTCCCCTCCCTCCCGTTCTTCTCCTCCGCCTTTTTAACAATGGTTTTTACTCTTTTCCTTATTAGGTTCCTCTGTCTGCCCAGGACTGAGAGGCTGGACCATAACTAGGAATCGGTCCAGGTACCTGGGTCATGGCTGACCCTGTCCTAACAGCGGACCTCTGAAGTAGGAGTGTCAGCTGGAGCGTCAGCATGACAGCAAATCAGAAGTATCATGGGAAAGAAAACCCAGAAACTTAGCACAGATACCGATCAGGCGTAAACTCAGGTGAAGTACAGGGCACACCACCTCCTAGCTGGCCAGGAGTGAGATCTCCGAGAGGGAAGGAAAGGAGGTCTTGGCGAGCCTGCCTGATGGCAGGAGTCGGGGGAAACAAAGCCTGCGGAATAAAGTGGTGCTTGGCCCACGGCCAGGGGCAAGGGCATGCTCTGTGGAGAGCCAGGAAAAGGGTGGGACACAGAAGCTTCACCAGAAATGGGCCCCCAGACGAATCCAAACAAGGGGCCCACCCAGGCCCGCTGCGCTGCGGGACAGTGGCCTGGCTTGGTCTGTGGCACGGCTGCCCCGGCTGTTGTTATTAGAGAATACCAGGCTCTAGGGGAAGTGGATAACCTTAACGTAAACATTTGTTTGCTTATCTGATAAATTATTTATATAGAACCAGAGAGGATATGGAATAGCCTGTGGAACTTTTAAGAGGAAGGTAAAGAGATAAGAGCCAAATAAAGTTGGAGGTGGGGCAGAAACTACTGTTTGCATATTTGGAAACGAAAGCCAAGGGACAGGGACATTGTTTCAGGTGGCTGTATGCTTCCTTTTGGTCATTTTCAAGTTAATTTGCATACTAGATGAGGGAGCTCCGTTGGAAGAAGAGCAATGGGCGGCATCTGAGGGGTAAACTCCCAGCAAAAACAAATTAATTAAGAGAGCAAGCCCCTTGCAGGGGGCGGGCAACACACATTTGCACAAATGTAAGATCCTGAGGCAGCTTCTGCTTCATTGTCTAGTACTAAAAGAGATTCTTTAAAATGCACATGATTTCTTTTCATGCGAAATAATTTCTAAATTAAGAAAAAGTGCTTATCAGCCTTTGGGGGTCCCCTGCCACGAATAAACACAGGTTGCCTCTGTCCCGTGATTGGGTGGAACCTCCTATAACGCAGGGCTGCGGGGCTGGGGGCTGACACACTGTTTTAGACACTGGCACTTAAGACCACTTGGGGATCTGGGGGAGCAAGTGACATCTCCAGCATGAAACTGAGGATCTGAACCCCCACTTTAACAAGGGCATAACAACTGCAACACAAAGGCTTAGCGCCTCGGCGTGGAAGCGCTTCCTTCATTGTCTTCCCTGGCGGACTTTGCTGCAGCCACGCTTAACGGGTTCTGAGTAGTGACGTGAGGACTCCCTGTGACTCATGTTTGTTTCTACTAAGGCACAGGCCCCCCTTGGTTAGGCCTGTCTCCACCACAGCAGATGGCACCCCACGAACAGCGAGAGCGTACCTGCAGGTCAATGGAGTCCGACGCCAAGGCCGAGTTCACGGCGTTGAAGCTGTCCAGGGCTGACGACTGCGCTTGGATGTGGTTCTCCAGATAGTCCTTCTGAGCCTGTGAAACCTGGACAGATAGAAAAGACAGTTACACAAAATCAATCCATACACACCCCCGGTAACATCTGTGTAGGCTGGAACTGTCTCCTGAGAGTAGCCACATCCACCTCGATGATATTTCATGGACAGCTTTAAATGAAAAAGTCAACACCTGCACGGCCCAGAGATCAGAAAGGCAAGACTCCATTTCCTTTGGATGTTTTTACACATTCATCTGTTGGGCTCAGTCCTCACAACACTATGCGGCAGCCAGACATAGCCCTTTATGGGGAGGAGACAGAATCAGAGAAGGTACAGGATTTGCACCCAAAGAGCTAAGAAATGGCACACCGGGGACTCGAGCCCAGCTGGAATGCCCGCCCGTGCCCTTTCGTTCTTTCTACCCACCAGAAGGCATATACTTTGGGCTCACCCCATTCTCGAGAATTGTTTTATGGCTGCTGCTGCTGCTGTGTTGTCTTTGGTGGGTGTGTGTGTTTGGCACATTTGAGAGAGTTCATCAGAGGCCTGTCTTGAGCTAGACCTTGAAGGAGGGCTGGCTATAGATAGAGAGGCAGGGAGGCAGCAGAGCCAGGGGAAGGGTTCCGGGACAGCTCAAGGGGAGACCCCTGTGAGAGCCACGGAAAGCAGCCGGACACAGTGCTGAAGGGGGTGCACCGGGGGACGGGACTGAGCGCTGAGGCAGCAGGCCAGGCCCCGAGCAGGTGGCATGTTCTTGTTCAGGGGCGTGCGCGCATTGCAGTCATTAGGCAATCAGTCTGGCTGCGGTGTGTGATATGCCCTGGAGGAGGGGGGGCTGTAGGCACAGAGAGGAAGCTCCTGTGACAATTTGAGCATGAGAAAACAAGGGCGTACAAGACTTGTTTATGCATATGTTGCAAATCCAGTCCTCTGACATTAATTAAAGTTGTTAGTGTCTGTCACTGGATAGCAGAGTGAATTTCCATAAGTAGGCGAGAATTTCACACATCACTTCGTACACGCCAGGGAGAATGGGCTGGGTGGATATGTTTATAAACCCCTAGCCCTATAATCAAGGCAGTAGGCTTTACTTCAGCAGATAATCTCACAGCCAAGCCATAAAGTGAACTCTAATGTGTGGCTGTTGTAACTGTCCTGCAATGATTAACTCTTAGGAGAGTATGACATAGATACATGGGCTTTTTTCTTCAAGATTATTAATCCCAAGTATTTTTTTTTTTATTTTTTTTTACAAGCATTAGCTTGGTTAAGTCAGAGGAAGGTTGTCTTTTCTTAAATTTTTGAGTAGGTAATACAGTCGCATAGTTCAAACATTTAAAAAGTATAAAAGGTATACACACTAAAATAAATCTCCCTGTCCCATCCGCTCGGCTACCGCCTTCCCCACTTGGCCCCTCAATTAAGAATCACTGTTAATTACTCTCTTCATTATCCTTTTAGCAACTTTTTGTGCACACACAAAACAATATAGATACACTTATTTTCCCCTTCTGTTTCATATAAGCGGTAGCACATTATATTTTTCTTGCATTTTCCTTTTTCATCATCTACTCTCTAATCTTTACAATCTTTCCATATCTCCTTTTGAAGAACTTAATCACTCTGATTCTTTTTTTACAACTATGTACTCTGTTGTAGAGATAATGTCCCTGGAATTTATTCACATATAATTCTGTCCCAACAGCATAGAAGTTGTGACACAGCACACACTGACTGGTCCGTTTCCCTCCTTTTATATGAGATGCTACACTTGTCACACATTGAGGTACATCTCTGGGTTTTTTCACTGATGTCTATTTATTTATATGCCAGTACTATACTGTTTTAATCTCTGAGGCTTTTTCAGTTTCTTCTAATATTAATAGGGCTAGTCTACCTCATTGGTATTTTTCCCCCAGAATTTCCCCAACTCTTCATATTTATTTTCTGTATTCCCTGAAATCACCTAGTCCAGTTGTAGAAAAACAACATAAAATAAAAATCTGTTGGTACTTGGGGTTATATTACATTTGTTACAGTTTACTCCTAGATATTTGGTAGTTTGTTGTTGTTGCTGTCATTTCTTAGAACAGGTTGGTTTTTATACATTGAAACCTCTTTGTTTGTATCTATAAATTTTTTACCTTGCTACTTTACAGAATTATTTTATTGTTTTCAGTCCTTTTTTTCATTGGATCACTTGGGCTTTCTGGGTTTACTACCATATAGTTTATAAATAGTGATAGTTTTATATCTACCTATCCAGCTTTCATACCTCTAAATTTATTTCTCTTGTTTAGTTCCATTGGCCAGCACCTCAGACACAATGATAACTAATATGGTGACAGCTGGCTTCCTTGTCTTGTTCCTGACTTTGGAGGGAATGCTTTGATATAAGAAAGAGTATTCTTACTATGAAAAAAATCCTTTAAATAATAAACTTTATCTTGCAATAAACTTCCCAGTTCATTTAAAATATGATTCCATTCATAAAGAACATCGTAAACTCAAATATCTCCACTACTAGCCCCCAAGAGGGAGTTCTAAGCTCTATCACCCCTCCCTATTTCCATGTCACTGAGACATTGACTTACGGACAGCTCCTGGGTGATCTGCCAAATCTTCTGTCTCATTTCATCATAGTCTCCGTACATTCGCTTCCGTACTTTTTCCAAGGTGGCTCTCACCTGAAGCCCACAAAGATGCTGGTTAGAGAGCAAGCAATAACATTTTCATGCGAGATTTCCAAATCTTTTAAGAAACCCTAACAAGAACAGGGCTCCCCACCCAAAAAAATCTTAAGAACAGGACAGTTTGGGAAATTACAGAATAAGGTCACTCCTGATATCTAGTTAGAAACCAAGGGAAATATATTATTATTAATAATAAACATATTATGATTCTATATAATTGTAATTACTAATGAATATTAATTATCCAAATAATAAACTGAAGAGAAAAATGCTTTGTTAAAATTCACCCATCACCTTCAAACCACAATTCAGGCAAAGTTTGCCCCTTTTCTTATCACACATTTTTTACAAGTAGACAAATTTTAAAATTTGACTGCAAACACATGGATAAGAGGACCAACAAGCAAAAGCAACCTCTAATTTTCCTTATCTCTGCTCTGACTGCCAAAGAGCAATTAAATGTCTGGAATGTAATGCAGGGAAGGATGAGCCCTGGAGAGCCCGTAGATTTGGAAGCCAGTTCCTCAATCACCAGTAATACACGAGGCACCAAATATGGCATCAGGCAAGGTGATCTCCAAACACCTGTTCACAAAAACGCTATTCAAGATTCTCTGTAGCAGCACTTCCAGAGGAGTAGTGGGGCCTTAAATATTTTTTTAAATAAAAACAAAAAAATCTTATAAGCAGTCCCTGTCTCCTCCCTCCTTCTGGTGTCCCTAGGATGGACAAAGAGCTCAGGGATCTGCAGAGAGAGCAGGGAGTCTCTGGAACTTCTCCCACAGGAAGGGGGCTTGAAGGAAACAGTTTGGTTAAAACGACCACAGGCATGTAGGGGACAGCATGGGGGGACTTAATCTTGAAGTTGCGTTTGCAGAATTAGCACGTTTTAAAATTAAGACTATATATTTATTAGAGGTGACTGGATATTGGTGGAGATGGGGGGGGGAAGGCAGTTAAGATGTCAAGCCTTCCCCAGACAAATTCTAATAATAATATACTTTCAACAAAATAGACACAGATTCAGATGCAGAGAACAGACTGACAATTGTCAGAGGGGAGGGGTTTGGGGTCTGGGTGAAAAAGATGAAGGGATCAGGCAGTATAAATTGGTAGTTACAGAAGAGCCACAGAGATGGAGATCACAGCACAGGAAATACAGTCAATAAGATCATGACAACTATGTATGGGGCCAGGTGGGTCCTTGAAGCAGCAGGGGCACCACACTGTAAAGTACATGATTTTTTAACCACTTTGCTGTACATCTGAAACTAATACAGAATTATATTGAATGTAAACTGTAATTGAATAAAAAATAATAATAGTCTACGTTCCTGCCATTAACTACAAACATATTGGGAAAACGGAGCTAAAATCACTACTTTTCACTGTAGGCAGGAAGAATGTCTTCCATCGGTGGCTCCAAGTTGGCTTCATGCTGCTCACCAGTGGGGAGTGGATGAGATCTTTAGCTGGGTGGCAAAAACTCAAGAAGCCAGCAGGACCAGAATCACTCACAATGAGACAGAACAAACAATCCCATAAACACACTGAGGAATGAGCAGGCCAGGAAAGGATTTGATGCCAGCTATAAAAGGGGGACCTGGAAACTAGTTTTAAGTCACAGAGCACAGTGGAGGTTGGCAGCTCCGATCAGAGCCACCCTGTGAGCTGGGCTCACATCATCTTGATCCACAGCCAGCCTCAACCTGCTGTCTTTGTCTTGATCGATTTGCAACTCTCCACTCTGCTGAGAAGGTTTACCACGGAAGCAGTGCCATGTTATCTGGGGCGTTTAAATGAAGGACTAAGTATGTCCATGAGAAAAATACAGACTAGAAATTTCCAAGCTGCTCCTATTCAGGAAAAATAAGAATGAGATACTTTGAGAGTTAAAAATTATGTTTAGGGACTTGGATGACTGGGGATTTGAGGCTGGTGGTTGTCACACATGTTCTGTGCATGTGTGTATGTATGTAGCTTTTTTGGATTTTCTCTGTTAAGCATTTATTATTATTATTTTTAATCAAAACAAGGTATTTTATTCCTTATAATTATACAAGTATTCGAAACTTTCAAGACACATTCAAGAAGGTAACTAAAACACTTATTTTTGATATTCAGTAAGAGATGTCCTTTTAAAAACCCCACTCAAAAGCTGACAAAATGACTTCATGTTTTATCCACAAACCCACCAAATAAAATGGGGTACACAGAGATGGAGGTTTTGACTTTTGGGGTCCCTTCCCAGCCCAATGACCTATGCATGAGAAAACTAAAGCCTAGAGAGGGAAAAAGTTTGGCTGGGCCAGACAGAGAGCTGGACCTTGAACCAAGGCCCATGGTGTACTCCATGGAGCCACAATGCCCTGCTGCTCACGAGCACCTCTAGTCCACAGGTCAGGGTTTGGGGACCATCAATGTCACAGCAGCTCCTTTTCTCTCTATGTAATCGCTCTGGCTTGGTCAACAGAGGCATTGGTCAATCTAGAGAGACCAAAAGAACCAAAAAGGAATGGAGATACATGATAGATGATGATAGATAGATGATAGATAGATAGATGATAGATAGAGATGGATATAAAAAATTTAGAAGGAAGTGCTCCCAAATGCTAACAACCACTCTGGTTGAATGGTGGAACTATGGGTGATTTTTTCTTATTATTACATTTTTGTATTTTCCAAATTATCTCAAAAACACCCCACATGACTTAAACAAATCAAAAATGTAATATTAAATACAAAGAAATGGCATTGATTGGCCTGGGTTTAACAATGTCTATTGTGGTTGACTTCTCAGCATATGTTTCACATCAACTGACTGGTCTGAACCAGCCAGTCATTCCATTCCCCTCACCAGTGATGGATTTGGGAATGGGCATGTGACCCAGTCTTGGCCAATGAGACATAAGAGAAGCCTAAAGGAGGGCCTTTTCAAAGTGGCCAGAGATGAGTGGCTCCTTTTCTTCCTCCAGACACTGTCACGTTTTCAGATAATACTATGAGCCTGAGGCTGAAGGAGGAAAGAACCAAGGGAAACTCAAAGAAATATACTGGAGCCTGGACATGTGGAGCCTGGAACCCACCTACTCCTAGACTAATCCCCACATGAGACAAATTTCCTTTCTGAGTTGGCTTTTCTGTTATCTGCTTCCAAAAGCAGCCAAATTTATACAGTTGTCTAAACTCACATATTAAGAGTGTCCAATATAGTAAGCAAAACCACTAAAGAGCCACAATACCATACACAAAAGAAGAAAGCCACTGGTCTCCTGAGTAGTCCTACTTAGTAACGCCCAGAAGCTCAGTCTGCACCTCACTGCAGAATTACATCTGTACTCTGAACAAGACCATAAAGATATATAGAAACATTTCCATCCAAAATGATAATGCTAAAAATTCTTCCAAAATGCCTTGTTACATTCACATCGATGCTTCCAACTCCACCCCCTTACATGCTACAGAAAGAGTATAAACCAGAAACAAAAAGCCCTTAAATGACTCACATCCTTGATGTAGTTCATCTCTTCTTTTAGCTGATTGGTGGACCACCCATACACCACCATTTCTTTCTGCTGATTTTGATCCGATCTTCGCACCACGCCATAGACGACACCCTGAGGAAGTTTCCTGGTTGGCTCCCCATTGCTTGGGTCGAGATGCTAGAAGAAGGTAAGAAAAAAGGAATAGTGACTCTTTAGGCCGTGTGAAAACAACTGTAATAACAGGCCCACTGTATATGGTTATGCAGGTTGTGCCCAGCACTGGGGTGCCTGGCCGCAGGCAGGGAGGCCAGCAGAAACCCAGTCTCTGCTCGCTCAGTTGCACCAGCCATGGGCAGAGCCTGCCTTTACCCTGGAGGAAGAGTATATTTCTCTAATTTCCACCAGGGCCCTGTCCACCCCCTTAGAAGTGCATCTGCAGGGCCCCATCTTCCCAGAGGGGGCAACTTTTTCTAATTCTCACAAAAGGGCAAGATAGGCTTGTGCTGTCCCCAATAACAAGAGCAAGTGCCTGAACTCTGACATTCCTGCTGATGCTGTCTTTCCCCTCAAACCAGTTCCTCTGTGTGCCTTCAACCTCCTCACTAAATATGTGGCCCGAAACGCATGCGATTGACATACTCGGGGGGAAATGTTGGCCACTACCTGGCAGCCAAATTGTCCTCTGAGGTTAGGACCGATCCTAGGACCAGCTCAGAGAAAAGGACATGGGGTGAGTACACAACCTGTTGTTACCATTCATGAGATATTTCTGAAAAGCCAGGCAGAGAGGTGTGACCACTGCAAAAGAATCTTCCTACTCCTTAATTTCTTCAGTTAAAGCTTTGATCAGTTTTTGTAATGCAAATACCCCTGGGAAGAGGTAACATGTCCAAGTTCTGACACACCTTCCTAGAATGAAGGCTCAAGAAGTAGGAGAAAAAGAAAGTAGAACTTGTTGAGCCCACACTTTAAGCTAGAAATGTTCCTTGGCACATTTAATCCTCACAGCTACTCTCAGACATAGTGATTTTCCTCTCTACTTTATAGCTGGGAAAGCTAGAGTTCAGAGAGAAGTAACTTGCTAACAGTCACACATCTAGATTTAGGCCCAAATCTGTCTGCACTAAGTACACCTCCCCAAGTGCAGGCTTTGTTGCACATAGGGGGACAGAGTAGGGGCCTCCACGACATCCAAAGGAAGGGGCAAGAAAAAAAACAGGACCAGGGACTGAGTCTTCATAGACAAACTGGCTGAGCCCGTTTCCCCTGGGGCTGACCTTGGTACTTCCACAATCACAGTGCAAAAGCCTGAATTCCATCCACAATGGCCATGCTGCTTTCCCACTCATCTTTAGATCACCTTTGCATAAGTACTTCCCATGCACTTGCAAAATATTTTTGCAAACAATACTGTAATTTGCATTTTAAAATCATTCATTTGTGGAAGAATAATGAATACTTTATGATCCCATTCAATTCAAAGTTTAAAAAAGTCTAGAGCCCTGGCCGGTGCGGTTCAGTGGTTAGAGCATCAGCCCATGCACCACCAAAGGGTTGTGGGTTCAGTTCCTGGTCAAGGGCACATATCTAGGTTGCAGGTTTGATCCCCAGCCCTGGCCTGGGCATGTGCAGGAGGCAACCAATTGATGTGTCTCTCTTACGTTGATGTTTCTCCCTCTTTCTCTCTCTCTCTCTCTGTACCTCCCTCTCTCATCCTTTCACTCTCTCTAAAAATAAAAGCAATGGAAAAAAATATCCTCAGGTGAGGATTAACAAAACAAAACAAGTCTAGAAAGATACGTGATAAATTATTAACAGTGATGACCTCAAAGGAGAGGACAGCAGGGTGGTACAGGGGTGCTAGAGTTCAGGAGAGCTGTCAATTTTTTTCTTTATACCCTTTCATATCATTTGTTTACAATGCGAGCTTTTTTAAAAAGAAAACAGCCCAGCAGGGCATGGCTCAGCAGTTGAGCATCAACCTAGGATCCAAGAGATCACGGTTCAATTCCCGGTCAGGGCACATGCCCAGGTTACAGGCTGGATCCCCAGTGGGGGGCATGCAGGAGGCAGTCGATCAATGACTCTCTCATCATTGATGTTTCAACTCTCTCTCCCTCTTCCTTCCTCTCTCTGAAATCAATAAAGATACTTTTTTTTTAAGTAAGAAAACAAAACATTCACCGCTTCCCACCCTTGTGTACATATTTGGAGAGAGGTGGGATATGAGGAACTGTGACACTCTACATTTGATTCTGGAAAATTCTTCCACTTGAGTCTCACACTTGTCCCACAGGTACTGATGGAACTCTTGAAATTGTCCATCAAGTTGAGGTGAATGGTCTGTTAAATGGGTCTCGATGGAGTGACAAGCTGGGATTAGATAATCCCTGCTTTACTAGGCATGTAATTAGGAAGAGGAAACACACTAATGAAACTCCCCCTGTACCAGGAAACATAAGCATGCTCTTTCAGCCACGGGCTCCACCCAGTTCCTGCAAAACAAGCTGATGACATAAGGCTTTGGTGAAATACATTTCGGCAAAGCACAGGCTTCACAGGTGGATTGGCCTCCAGGAAAAGGCTCAGGTGGCTGCACACAGAGGACTCTGCCTCCCTGCCCAGGAGGGGAGAAGAGGGCCACCACCATGGAGAAGCACACAAGCCAGGCCAAGGACAATAGGGTTGTGAAACACTACCCTAGAGGTCGTGGATCTACAAGTTACACACATGGAAAGATACCGAAGATCCATTAAGTAAAAAATAGCAATTTTCATATTCCTATTTTTTTGTCTTAAAAATGTGTGTTTGTGTGTATAAGACATCTAGAAAAATGGAATCCAAACCTTTAATGCCAGTTTCCTCAGTAAAACTGGATTTCATTTTTCCTTGATACTCCTTTATATTCTTTGACTTGGGGGGCCAAAAAGGCATTATTTTTGAATTAATAATTTTTATTTCAATTTTCAAATACTTGAAAAATTATTCCAAAATCAGGGTATAAATGAAAGACCCACAGGGAAGGAGCCAGCCCAGGACCCTGCTCAGGCGCAGGGCCACCCGCACAGGCCACTCCACAAGGAGAGGGTTCCTGAGGCAGCGTGAGAAGCTGCAGGGCTGTGACAGGGAAAGGGAGAAGGGATATTTATGAAGAAAGAGAAGGGGAGAAATATTTGTTGTCTAGCCATTTTATTATACATATTTTTAAATCCTCACAATAACTCTACTGTGTAAATATTAGTTCTTCCAAGGAGGCAGCATGCAAGTGCCTGTCCATGTCTTGCCAAATGCAAGCTCCTTGTTTGACTAGAATGCCTTCAAAATAGTCAAGAGTCAGGAGAGCAACTGGAACTCACATCTCCATGTGGCAGCCCAGACCTCAGGGTCCTGGACCATTGGGAAGAGGCAGGCCCAGGATGGGGAGGTTCCTCTAGCTTCCTATGATCCATCTCCCCCTCAGCCTCTGCCCCATTCCTGCCTCACTGTCTCCTTTCTGCTCCTTTATCAGCCACCTTCCTTTTCGCCTCAGGGCATTTACATAGAACATTTGCTCTGTCAGCAGTTCCCTGAAAGTCCCTCCCTCAAGGACATCTTCACTGGCCCTTCAGCCTGCTTGGGTCTCCAGGACATTCACCACAACCATAATGAAGTGACTACTAGTATTGTTATGTATGTAACGCCTGCTCCCCTATCAACTGGAAGCTCCAAGAAGTCTAAGGCCCTGTTTGTCTTCTTTTCTACCATAATCCTTGGCATCTAACAGTGATAGACACCCAATGAGTTTCTCAATAAATATTTGCTGAATGAATAGGGAGCTTTGGAAGTTGGGAGAGGTTCTGGGGAATTACCCAGAATATGTGTATACAGGGTCCAGCTGAAAGAAACATCCTTGCTTCCTCTTAGATGGAGGAACAGGGAGCTGATGGTTTTACCCTAATCATAAATTTGATATCCAGTAAAGCTGCAAAGGAGCCGAGAGTGCTCTCATTTTTACCAAATGTCAGTATGCTTTTGGTCAAAAACTGGAGAACATAGCAAAGAATGAAAAGAGTAACTTTTGGCACTATGTTTGTGGATAAATATTCCTCCATTTATATCATTTAAAATATCTCCCTATAAGATAAATATTAACTTTTTAGGCATGATAATAGCATTGTGATTATATTAGGAGATAGTCTTTATCTCTCAGACAAATGCACTTAAATAAATATTTATGACATCTGGGTACAGGGTGGAGGAAGTAGATAGGATGTAGACAGAACAGGACTGACAACGGGTTGAGGGTTGCTAGGGCTGGGTGAAGGGTCAATGACTCATTACACACTTTAGTCTCTTATTGTTTATGTTTGAAATTCTCCATAATTAACTTTTTAAAAACTTTTTTATAATGCTGCTTAGTATTAAAAATTAATTTTTAAAAAAATGTACACTAGGCCTACTAACAGCCTCCAGGGCATGAAACAATACTAGGCAAAATCTTCTTGAAAACAAAAACCCTAATAAATGCATGGAATGAAAAGAAAGTTATTGCCAAAAGGGAAAAGGAAACCACCAATAGAAAGGCCATCCCAGAATCCCTACGTGAAATGCAGCAGAATTAACAACAGGCATAATCAGTAAAATAGAGACAGTTCCCTGGGATGTACTCATAGCTTTAAATTTACTTAAAGGCTCATGATATGGCTGTTTTCCCAGTACCTCAGAAAGAAGGAGAAACCACAGAAAAGTAACTCAGCCTAAATTCCTCCTTATAAGGGCTTTAGTGAGGCCAGTGATGGGTGACCATATTTTCCAAACCCTAAATCAAAGCATGTGACCTTACAATGAGATAAGCTCTATCAAGGCAGAGATAGTATCTGCTGTCCCCGATACTCAGCATAAATAGATGCTTAATAAATATATTTTGAATGAAGGAAGACAGCAGAATATTTAAAATCAGGTCTATGCCAGAATATTTGAAGTGTTTGGTCATCCTGGACACTGATCTGTGCAAAGGGAAGAAAGTCGCTGGGACAAGAAGGGTTTGGGGGGAATGCAGAAACACAATTTAACATAAATCCAAGCTGACGGTGATACACTGCCACAGCCGGCCTACAGCCCCAGGGGCCAGGACAGGCAGCTGGTCATTCCTCCAGGCTGCCAATACAACAAAGAGAGACCACAACATGAACTGAATG